GGTGTTCCGAATATTCTATTCGAAGGAAGTTATGAAGGCCTCAATAATGATCAAATAACTGGGTGGTCTTCCCGCCCTGGTATGGGACACTACCGATGGTTGAGAGGCCCTATCAATCATCTTCGAAGAGAACAGAGATCAGAGTATGTGGCGAATACAATTTGTCGCATCATAAATTTCCTCAACATATGATGACCGCTCCTCGTGGAACTCGTCTCTAGAAGGGGGGTAATGTCACGGCCATAATCATGTAAGCTAATAATTACATATAGAAATAGGTAGAAGTAAGTAAAAGTAGATAAAAGTAAGTTAATTATATAATATTTAATATAGAAGCTTCCTAGAAACTTCCTAGATGCTGCTTTGACTTCATAGGTGTCTTTAATTGACTTTTTGGATTAGAAACGTGGTCAACAAGTTGGCCATGTACCACACATGTTGTTAGCTTGAAGATCAAGCTAACTATGTGGCCCACACGTAGAAAAACTTGCCTTGTAAGTCAAGGCATGTGTCCTACAAAGTCAACACATATTGAAGGTCCTATAGAACGTCGCCACGTAGCCCCTAGTTAGATAGTATATATAGAGACAAGAGTGAAGGCTTCTTCACTCTTGTCAACTCCTTTCTTGCTTCTAGTCCAGGTTCAAGAGTCTTTAGTTTCTTGTCTTGTGGCAATAGCCATTCCAGTTTCCTTTTAATATACCTACTTGTTTATATTTTGACTTATTATATCGAGATAGCCTTTTGGTGTATATTTTTCCTCATCGAGTCTTTGTCCTTTGACACAACTACAACAACAAATCCAAAAAATTTCACCTATAGATCTACTAACAAACTTATAAAATTCTCCAAAAAGTATCACTCATTTTATTTTACAAATCTCGAGTCATCCAAAACAAATGTTAACTTTACAAAGCTCTTCCAAAAACAGTACACACTCAAATCACTCCAAATTAATACATAAAGTAATCCCATCAAGTCAACTCTTAGAATCTATTCTTTGATCTCCAAAAGAACCTTAGAATTGTCATTAAGGCTTGGTTTTGTACCTCAGGGTCTGATTTCAACCCTAGTTGATAACTAGTCTTCTCCAAGTATTAATTCTTGGATTTTTAAGATAATTTTTATTACAAATTACTCTTAACTTCTTTTCAAAGGTGTTTATATTGTTTATTTTTCTAATCTACTTTATTTTACTCTATTTGTGGTCCTACAAAGTCAATAGAAGCCTATTTTGTAAAAAACTATATTAGCACCTTTAATTTTTCTACCCCTTGACTATTATCTATTTTTCTAAGATAATTTGTAATAATATATTTGAAATAAGATCTTTAAAAATATTTTATTTTTTTCACCTTTTTATCTATAATTTATTTTCATCACGACACCAACATGAAGATCTTCAAAAATGACATGTCCTTCTTCAAATAGATGCTAAAATATAACATGTTTGATATTACAACCTTGAAAGAGACTCCTAATATTTGGTGATTTTATTAGAAGTAAAAAAAATTCTTGAGAATATTTCAAATAGTTTATTTGAAGGAAGTTATGAAGGCCTTAACAATGATCAAATAACAAGGTGGTCTTCTTGTTCTAATATGGGGAGACTATTAATGGCTGAGAAGATCTATCAACCATCTTCAAAGAGAATAAAGATCAAAGTATGTGGCAAATATAATTCGTAGCATCTTCGATTTTCTCAACATATAAAAACCACTCTTTATAAAATTTGTCCCTAAAAGAGAGGATAATGTCACAGATATATATATATTGTCGTATTGTGGTTTGGCTACTATGTAAAAATAATGTATTTATATATTTAATATATAATATACTAGACAACATAGTAAAAGCCATGTTAGTGGATTTTTGTTGGTTATAGGATGTGAATAGATTACTACCCTAAAAAGAAGTTGTTTAAAAGGACTTTTATTAGAATTAATATAACTTTATTTTCTTTTGATAGTGACTTTTGAAGTAGATCTTATTAGTAATAACTTTTAAATATTTAGAATCACCCTTGTTAGACATTGGTGATCCTTGAAGTTTTATTTTGGTTCTTTTATTTGATATTTAGAACATATATTATGTAGAACTTATAAGAAAAAAGATTGGAGAAGGATTTTGGTAGCAAAAAGAGAAGTTAAGACATCCATATGGATGAATGGAGATGGATGATGAAAATCTCTATTCTTATTGGCTAAAAATCATGCACAATGGGCTTCAAGGGGGCTATCTGAGGTCTTATTAAAGTTTAGGGTTACTCTTTTGAGGCCATTTGAGCTTTAGAGGTTACAATTAGCAAATTTAGATTTTTTGGCTATGGTTTTGGTTCAAATTTTGTATGATTTGGAGTTTATATAAAAGAGATATGGGCACTCAAAGTTAAGGTATTGATTTTGTACCTACTATCACACTTTTGGGCATAATGCACGCATATATAAAGCAATAAAAAATCAGTGACTAGATTTGAAGAGAACATTTATTTTGCTACAATTTTAATATACTATTTGATGGATTTTGAGTTGGAATAAAGGAGATATTGAAAGTTGAAGTCAGCACTTCAAAATTAAAGGTAGTAAGTCATCCAATTTACTAGTGGTTGTATTTTGAACTATATCTTGAGTAATTTGATAAAATTTTGGTTCAAAATTTTTAAAGTATGTATAATTATATTAGTAAATTTTATACACAAATTTTGTAGCATTTGGATTTTGGATTTTTGAGATATGGAAAATAGTTTTTGGATGCTTATAGATTAGGGTTTAAAGCACCTTCTAGGGTTTCTAAGATACTAGAAGATTGATAATAGATTTATGGTTTTTTTTTTTTTTTTTTTATAATAAAGCTTAAGGATAATAGGTACATTATCTAAGAATTTGAAAGAAACTAAATGGTTGGATCAAGAGATATGAATTTATAAAATACAAGGTAAAAATATCCTTTGGGAGAAGAAAATATTTTGAAAGATTTTATTATAATTTGAGCTTTCATGCAAAATAAAAGAATTTTTGGAGATAAGACATTATATATAAGCCAAAGCTAAACTCTCTATAGCTAGGTACCTAATGTATTCGTAGATTGCAAATCATCCTCTACAATAACATACACTAATAAATATCTATATGATTAGGTAGAAATAAGTAAATATAGATAAAAATAGGTTAAATTTGTAATACCTTCTAGAGAAGCTTTTTAGAAATTTTATATATAGATGACTTAATATATATTTATAGTTGATTGGTAGGCTAGAAACTTGGTCAATAAATTAATCACGTCTTGATAGCTTGTAAAACAAGCTAATTATATGGCACACATATAGAAAACTTACTTTGCAAATTAAAATACGTGTCTTGCAAAGTCAACATATTTTGCAGGTCCTATAGGACATGGCCACATAGCTCCTAATTAAGAATATATATAGAGGTAAGAATGAAGCCTTCTTTAGTCTTGTCAATGCCTTTCTAGTCTTTAGTCTTATTTCAAGACTTTTTAGTCTCCTTGTTTTTGATAATAGCTATTTTATTTCAATAATGTATCATCTTTAAGTGATTTTTTAGTCTTTTTCAATATCATAAGAGTATATTGAGGATTTCTTTCTTCAAAATTCATGTCCTTGATACATGACCTCACAAAAAACTCAAGATGTTTGGTGATATTACTAGAGATTAAAACCACCCTTGATGGTATTTCAAATGTTTTAATTAAAGGAAGCTATGATGGCCTCAACAATGATCAAATATTAGGCTAGTTTTCTTGCTATAATATAGGACATTAATGATGGTTGAAAAGACCTATCAACCACCTTTGAAGGGAAGAAATATTGGAGTATGTGGCAAATATAATTTGTTGCATCTTGAATGTTTTTAACATTTGATTACTACTCCTTATGAAACTTGTTCCTAATAGGGGGAGGTTATGTCACAAACATAGATATTTATATAAATAAGAAGTGTTAGGTAAAAGATAAATGTACATAGATTTGATGATATTTTAAGGCAAAGCTTTTTAAAAGCTTTATAGATGCTTATTTGACTTTACACATATTTATAGTTGATTAGTACGTTAAAAGCTTGGCAAACAAATTAGTCACATCTTGCATATGATAGTAGCTTGTAGAACAAGCTTACTAGGTAGCATATATATATGAAATTTATCTTGTATGTTAGATACATATTAGAGGACCTATAGAATGTCGCTATGTAATTCTTAATTACATAGTATATATGGAAGCAAGAGTGAAGAAGGCTTCATTCTTATCAATGTTTTCTTATTCTTACTTTAGTCTTAAGATTCTATAGTCTTCTTATCTTTGGCAATAGCCATTCTTATCTTAACACTATAATACTTTTGAAATAATACATTATTCTTTTTAAATTATATAAGAGTGTTTTGAGATTCTTCTTGTTTTAATTCATGTCTTTGATATATATATATATATATATATATATATATATATATATAAGAATGAAACCTTCTTCATTTTTATCAATAACTTTCTAGTTTTTAGTCTTGTTTCAAGATTTTTTAATCTTCTTGGCTTTGGCAATAGCCATTCTAATTTAATATCATACTATCTTTGAATAATTTTTTAATCTTATTGAGTGAGACAAGAGTATATTGATCTTTTAGTTTTTTAAAGTTCATATCCTTAACAAATAAAGACTTTTAAAGTTGAAGTATAAATACAAAGAAGAAAATGAAAAAATAATAAAAATAATAAAAATAATATCTTTTATGAGATTATTATTTTTTAAATATCATTATTTAATAAATATTATTAAGTTTATTTTTGAAACATATAAGTAGATAATAGTCTATTTCTAAATTCTAAATTCTAAATCTCAAAGTATAAATTATATATATAATACAAAAAAATATATAAATACATATATAAATACATAAATTATAAATATATTTATCTATATATATTATTTTTTTTAATTTTAAAAAATAAGATGGATACCTACAACTCCAACCACCATCAAAAGCCTATGATGGGTAAACATCTTAAATGATACAAATATGAAAGAAGATATCTATCTTAAGTTATAAAATTTATATAAGATGTTTTATAATAAGAGAAAATTAAACATTTGAAAGATATAATATCTTAACTCTTATTTGACAAGTTCAAACTTAGTACTTTCATAAAACCACATAACTGGGATTCAACACCTGAAATTTCCAAGATCACTCAAAATATCATAGTTCAAACTTTATTACCCCTTAATATTATTTATTGGTTCAAACTTTATTACCTCCTAGGTATAAAGTCAAAGAGAGAAGAGAGTATAGGCCAGCTGGTTTTTGATATTTAATGTGTCCCTCTTTTGATATTTGGTTTTCAAAATCACCTACCTCACGAAGTAGGTGATTTGGTGAAGTATCAAATAATATTTTGAAATATCACAAGATACATTGAGATGTCATTGCAGGTGAAATATCATCCAAAAAGGCCATGTTTGAACCCCCCCCCCCATTATGTTCTTTATCAAACATCAAGCCTTTCACTATTCTTATTGGTCACAACCATTTGAACGAATTGAGCTTTTTCATGATTTTCTGAGGATGCGAGACCATTCCTAACAACGCATCCATTCACGCGCACATTTCATTCATCCACAACGTTCATCCATACATTATATATTCATCCATCCTTCAGTGCCGCTCTCCCTCTCGCTCTCCTCGTAAGCTTTGAAATGGCATTGGTTGCTACGCCACTGGCGACGCGCGAGGCGAGAACGGCTGCATCCGCGGCGCGCAGATGCGGATGGATATACCCAATTCGATACCCCTTTCTTCCTGATTAGCAGCAGCATTACGAAAATCGATTCCCTCGCCACAACCCACAACTGCACTATTTGTCTGACTGCTTCCTTCCTGCATCCTAATCCCATCGCACGACCTGGTGTTGTGTTTTGCCGATTCCGGTTCGCCTTTTCCGTTGCGTGTGTGTGTTTTTTTTCTTCTTGGGGTGCGTGCCGGTGTCTGATACGTAGCACGATGCGATGCGACTGTCATGAAATTTTCTGGGTCGCTTGGAATTTCTATGTTCAGGCTCCCTACTTGTACTCAACAATTTTGTGAACATGAGTTAGAATTCGTTGTGGTGGAACTAGCTTCCTTCTCGGTCTGTTCTGAAGTCGTGGAATTTAGTTGTAGTTGTGGAGGCTTGTAGGGTTTTGTGTGCGATCCCAGCCGCCTATGAATGTATGTGAAGGCTTAGGGATTTGATTGTGCTTGCGAATTTTGTAGGTTTAGGATCTCGCGAAGATTGTTTTGAGATTCGAGACGAGTCGATCCTGCGGCTATTTTTCATTTAAGTGGGTTTTTTCCAGCAAGGCAGTAGTTGGCAAGCACAGGTAGGGCTTCTGTAATGTCAGATGGTCGTGACGATGCCGCACTTATTTGCTTCTTGTTTTATACAAACTGTGCCAATCTACGCTTTCTCTATACTCAGCTGGTTGCTGTCGCTAGTGGAAATGTCCGAAAGATGTTTTGACTCACTTAGTTGGATGCTCTATCTTGGTGTGAACATGTAACCGGTTCAGTGGATTCGATCGGTTGTGTTCAAGCTTTCCTCCTCAATCTGGATGGTTGAGGTCTTAATGGATTTGAATTGTCTTCAAATCAGAGAGTTGGGAGGTTCTTCACCGCGACCTATTACGGTAGTGAAGGCATAGTAGGGGTACATTTGAGGCCTGAATAGAATCGTTTGTTTCGGCAGAGTCTTGAAAATATTTGTATGGTCTACTGTTGAGTTTTTATGTTTTGACGGATGCACTGTTTCTGATCATACTGGTTTAATTGTAGGCTATTCAGGGGAACTACGAGGGATGATGGAGGATAATTTTATTGATCACGTGCGTCATGATGGTCATTTCAATGATATGGAATGGGGGAGCTGGAAGGAGGTCGCTTTCTGGACAATTGCGCTCTTGGCCAATGTTGGCTTCATTATGTACGCAGCTTGGAGATTGGCAGTGAAGCACACGGATGCCACTGGAAGCTCTATTTTGGTGCCTATGAAAGTCGATGACTCTTCAGGTCAATCTTCAGCTGTGCAGAACGCTCGGAGACGTGGTGGCAAGCCAGAACTTCCGCAGTAGACGATCCCAGTTTCATACATGATAAGATGCTCCGCACCCATGTCTCATATTTACAATCGACGGGCCTGATGAATCTGCGTCAAACCTCGCCCGTCTCGTTTTATTGTGGAGCATTCTTGAGTATGCACTATCCAAATCTTGTTGGAAAACAATGGGGTGCAACGATGCTGCACGGTGATCTGCTCGTGACATACCTATTTCACCGAAACCTGTCCAGAAGTATTTGCTTTTGAGGTTGCGTTCAAGGATTTGATTAATCTGATGCGCTAAATCGGACGAAACGAATTATTGTTGCTTGGTTAGTAGCATCAGCTGGATTTGAGTTTGTGGCACTCTGATGAAATTGAAAACAACACTGCAACTGCAGATTGTTGTAGAAATGTTTTGTGTTAAAAATCACTTTCCAGGCCATGAGGAGATTACACATTTTATTTAAGATACAGTTTGTATTTGTTGGCCTGAATTGATTTTGAGACTGATAGTTAACTGGCACGTGTGGCTACCGAATGATACAACTTACACCTCTATTAATCCTGTAATGTGCATAAAATACTCCCCAATTATTTCAGCTTGTCTTTCGACGAAACCCAATTAATCTTGAAGTCCAGTTTCTTCCGAGAACGTCTGTGCCAGGGTGTGGGCCGATTAGGGAGAGTTCTTTGTATTCCCATTTTCCATGAATCTTTGAAGTAACTAGAAAAAAATCTCAAGACAAATCGTACTAATAGTTATAATCTGACCGAGTTCCATGGTCAAATAAAAATGTATTTTTTTTCCAACCAGTGAGAAAATGACATTTGTAAAACAATGTCCAGTGAACATGCTAATTTATTTATTTATTTTGTGATTGTATGTAAAAACATGAGATTATTGTAGGAGGTAATCGTCAACAACACAGATAAGGATTAAGAGATGTTAAAAAATAAATAAAAAAATAAAAAAATACATATACTATAAATATTTTTCAACTCTGTAATAAAGATTAGTATAGGCTTTTTATTAAATTTTTTACAATTCATAACTAAATTTTATTCAAAAAAATTTAATGAATTTCAAACCGAAATTTTATTTAGGCAGTTTATGAATACAAGTAGTTTCAAAGATTGGTTTCGACACACACACACACACACACACATATATATATATATATATATATATATACGTATTGTCGCTCTTTCATAAGAAGTTTATTACACTTAACAATTATCACACAATTCTTTATGAAGCAAGAACTTCTGTACAAAACATTGTAACAATGTTTCATCCTGAAATCCTGAGCCAACCTTGGTTATTCAAAATGCACATTTATGCACCGTATCCCACTCATGATGACTCATGTTTGGAGAATTGATACTAGCACAATGTCTATCACCATACCAGTCCCAATATCACACAACTTAGTTCAAGATCTAGTAATTATTACACATGAAATCTCTAAAAGCCATGCTTCATGTCTACAAAAGATGGGGGCAGAAGCATAGCCTACTGATGGACATTGCCGTGCAATATGTATATATATGTACATATCAAAGAGTTCAGGGATGGTAATATTCAAGATAGCTTTATCTTTACCTCAGCCTCGCATATAACTATCATGAGCATTTCTAAACCATTTTTGCCGCTATCAACCTGCTCCAAGCCTGCATCTAGAATTATTTCAAAACTAAGCTGTAATCCATGCCGTTTATAGCCTGGAAAGAAAGCACTGATGCTCTTGGAAGATGCTGTGGAGACGCTCTGAGCAGACGCCAAAAGATCACCTTACGAACTCGTGAGAAATCAGCACAGACAGAATCGTATGATTCAAAATGTTGAGGATCAGCAAAAATTAAAGTATATTTAGTTCCGATGAGAACACCTCGTAACGCATGTGCTTTCCCCTCGTGAAGGTGGTGGAAAAATGATCAAGACCGGCGATTATCAATCTTAACACATACCCTGAGACACCGCATCCAGAAGATTCATGACGGAAGCGGCAAAAGCCTTCATTTGTGCTCTAGAATACACTTGGGTGGGGTACATGAGCGATATGGAAATGTCGTTACCGTCCAGCATGGTGTCGCAGACTGCGAAACAAGGGCCGATTCTATGCATCGATGGGAAAGGTCCACATACAGCAGCCACCTGCAGCTTGTCAGTGTTGGTCCACTGGTTGAATGGCGTCTCGTCTACAAACAAGGAGAACAACGCGGTTCGCAAGGATGACTGGGGTGTCACACCGGGATGTTTCAGAACCTGGGAGAAGAGCATGTTGAGAACGGGAATCTCGGAGAATTGTTTGCTTTTCGCCAGCTCTTTCTCAGTGGTTGTTGACACGCTGCGCGCAAGTTCCCAAAAGGAGACGCCCTCCTTCACCTATTGGCTTTGTGGGATACCGGAGACGTAATTTCCTACGGTGTCGGCGGGGAGAATGGGCTCGAAGTACTTTCGGCAGTCCACTAGACTGTAGAGAAATCCATGTCGCACTTGTCAATCAAAATATACAGAGATAGACGTTGACATTCCTGAACAATAGATACACATGATGCACAAATATTCCACGTTGGGGGAAAGCGTTTGATGGAGTTTTGCGGTGCAGCAAGGACTGAGCAGATCCAGCTGTCAATGCGCTTACCTTGTGAAGCTGAAATCGTCCTTCTTCTTTTCTTTCAGTTCCTTACAGCCAGCTGCTGTTTTCAAGAATGCTGCTGCAGCGATATCACCTACGCTGCAGCGGCTGGTGTTGTCATCCTTTGGCCATGGGCAGCTCACAACAGTAGGCACGACAGAGTCGCTCTTGACTACGAATGCATATCTCCCCTTTGAATTCTCCACTATTTGGGACCTAAGGATGGCGTGCTGGTTCATGACCTCTCGGCATGCTTGCGCAACCTGGGTTGATTCCACCTGCCGCCGCAACGTGATTGAAAAGACAGACAACCCTGTCCCGAGAGCCATGGCCTTCGACCAGTTCTCCTCTGACGATCCCATGGCCCTAGCAAGTGCTCCATTCTCCACTGCTTGAGCTGGCGCCATGGCGCTCCGATGAGTTCAAAACCCACGTTCTTCTTGATAAAAAAAACTACACTAACACAGCGGAGAGTGAGAATAATAAAAATTGGCTGAAACTTTCAAACATTCTAGTTTGCCACTTATCCCTCACTTCGACAGGCAACGAATCACAATTCACAAGCGTTATCATTATCATTTCCAGCTTCACAACAACAAACCTCAGTAGAAGACTCCACAGCAACAACACCAATGGGATTCAGCAACCTTTGATACGAACAACTTCGAGTCTTCACAACAATATCTGACACGAAAGGATTGCGAGGGAATTCATGAACAATACGTCCATCTTGTCCCTTGAATTCCTAAAAAAAGCTTTGAGCAATCACTCAACTTTGGACGTAGAGCTAAAGCAGCATCGTCAGTGCTTCGAATTCTTCACTACAATCACCCAGTTCCAATGATCGCCGCCTGGGTTGGTTGCTATATAACTAGGTTGCAAACAAATTGTATATCAGATGTGGAATGCTTACCGTCCACCGCATAAATGGTACAGCAGCCACTGATTCTCCACCCGCTATCGGCACACCATTTCACCTCAGCATCACTGCTCTTGAATGAGCCTCTCACATACACAAAAAAAACTTAAAGGGATGGATGACAATAAGTGAGGTATCCACTCACCAAACACTGCAAGGAAGAATTCACTCTCCACTACAGCGATCGATTGGCCGTTCACTAGCTCTCATACCATTTTATCAGCTCCAAGATTTTTGCTATAGAATCAGCTATTGCAATTACTTTTGCAAGCTGGGGTCCTCTTCTAATCATCCGCATGTACACTAACTCATATGCTGAGCATGTTGTTGTAGAAGTAAAGCTTCTGGTTGGTATCACCATCGCAACGCCATCTTTGTCACTAAATCATTCTTTTTTTATCAATGTCAAACATGTTAACAACATGCTCCTATCAAATGTACAAGTTCAAATCGGAGGCTACACCTTTGAGAATTGTAGAAGTAGCAGTAGAAGCACATTGTACTTTGAAAGCTCCTCTTGCACATGGAATGAGAGGGGTTGGTTTGTTAACATGGTGTTGGGAGTTTGACATATTCACACCTCATTGAAAGCTTTTTGCTTTTAAGATTGTATTAATTTTATGGTGTAGTTGTTGAAAACGAATTTGGTCTTGTAAGTTTTAGAAGTTTTCTCTTAAAAAGAAATATAAATTTAATTAGAATATTAAAAATTGTATGAAAAAGTCAAAATGTTTGAATAGAGTATGTAATTCAACCACCCAAGTGATATCCAAGTACAAAGTAAAATTTATTGTTGATGTTTCAACAACCTTGGGAATAATCATCATCATTACAAATAAAGAGATCAAAATTATTTCTATTCAAAGTTGACACTTTTATAAATTCAACTTTAAATATATATATATATATATATATATATATATTTATATTGATATTTATGAATTTATATTGGCTTAAATCTTTGGCTTAAATCTTTTATTTTCTAATAAGATAATATTTATTAATCTTATTAAATACTTTTAAAATCTAGCTTAGTTATTTATAAATCTTTAATTTACTTTTGAAATATTTCAGTTTTTCAGATCTAAGATTTGCATCAATTTTTTTAATCTTTCTTCTTATACATCTATTTCTTTTGATACGAAAAAGAAATTATAATTAAAACTAAATTACTATAAAAATCCATTGAAACTAATTTATATAAATTTATAAAAATTAATTGAGTGTATATCATTTTAATAATTTATATCAAATGGTTTATATCTATGACATAATATGCACAAATAAAAGTAATATTTCTTACTCTATTTTTTATACACATAAATAAGAATTATTTTTTTCAAATTAACTAATTAAAATTTTAATAAATTAAATTAAAAGTATTTTAAAATTAATTAATTAATTTTTTAAAAGTAAATATTAGTCAAGTTACAACATACTTTATTTATAATTTCTTTAGTTAAATCAAAAGATAATTTGAATTCACTTCGTATATATAAATTTTTTTATGATGCTATTTAATTTATATTTTGAAAATTCTACAACTAAAAAAAAGTTCAATATCCTTAGAATTTTGTAAAAGTTTCTTGATACTAATTTTTTATGAGAATTAAATGTTCCCAAATTATTATTTTTTTTGGTTTTATGTATTTGGAAATGCATTCTTGCTATCGAATAAAAGATCTTTTAAATCATATACATAAGTTTTATTTATTTATTTCTATTTTATTTGTGCATACATATTAATAGTATTATCTTATATCCTTCTATTTTCTTTGTAATATATCAATTAATCTGAAATCAAAATTAAAATTTTGAATATAGATAGTAGCCTATTTTATTTTTTATTTTTATTTATTTATTTATTTATCTTGCTACCAATAAAGCTCAATTCATACGTAATATTGTCATAGGAAATAGTTATTGCCAATAAGAATATCAGGTGGCAAAGATTGCATCTTCTTGGCAAAAGACACCAAAACAATTCTACTAATGATTTTAATAGCATTATAATTAAAATCATATAGTTGAGATTTATGCATAGACATAGGTGTAGAATCAAAAAAATAAAATTGCATTGATTACCAATTTTTTTACCCATTTGTAATAAATAAATATAAGTTTAAATCTTCACCTACTTTACTTGAGTATATTAAAAAACTTTAGAATGTCCAATTCCATTAATCTCACTTCTTCAAATACTATTATATTTTGTATTTCTTGGTTTTGACTACTAACTAATACATATGAAAACAGAAAGGTTTTCAAATATCATTATAAATTAAAATTAATTGCATTATTGACACCTAGTCATAAAGATGCATTCAAAGAAAATATCATTTAATATGCAATATTATCTTCTTTTATCTATACAATAAAAGATAAGTTACATGTCATGAAATAATGATAAATTTCTAAGGGTATTTTTAGACATTTAAAAATTACTTAACATACCTTTAAATTTATATACAATGATACATAAAAAAATTAATCAAATTTTGTAAATAAAATTTTAGAGGAATATCTAAAATTTACTATCATCTACTTTCAAAACAATTTTGTAAGTTTCTTATCATTAAATTTGTTTTAAATAAGAATTTTATTCAAAGATTTTTATTTTTTTTTCAAAAAATGATTTAATTATTTTTTACATTATATTATTTTATTAATTTTTTTAGAATATTGAAATAAGTTAAAACTTTAAAATCTTAGTTTTAATTTATAAAATTATGTAATGAATCAAATTAATCTCTATAAATTTCATGTCAAGTTATATATATATATATATATATATATATATATTCATATCAAATTACTTAAACTTAAAATTATATACAAAAAATCTATGCATAGATACCATTAGCACTATGTACCAATAAAGTATTTAGAATTAGTCTTTTTATTCTTTTACCAAATCAAAAATTATGTTCTTTTAAATTTATAACATAATTTATTGACTTTTATTCTGATTTGATTTTTTATTATTATTTTTTACGTACTTTTGGAATTTTTTAAAACCTAAATAAAATATTCGACTAAATATATTACTAATTTTTTTTTTAATAAAAATTTCACTTTAAAAAAATAAAAAAAATAAAGAAAAATGATTATTCTTTTTTTAAACGAATCTATTCATATTCACATGCACTTGTAATACAAGTATTGCAAAGTAAAATGGTAGAGTATAATTGTTAAATTTTTGAAGATATAAAAATAATATTGTTATAAAAGAGATGGATTAAAATAAATAAATAAATAAGCATTAACAGTATCATAATTTTATACTAGTATTATGAAATAATCATGATCTTATTAAATAAAACATGTGAATTAAAATTTTAGGTCTCTTTGGAGTATATGGAATATACATAATTTCTTTTTAGGATTTTATTGTGAGGTTTATTTATGAAATGTGATTTTTTTATGTCAATGTGTTTTCATGATTTATTGCATCAAATAAAGATGATGTATAGATATATATACATATATATATATATATATATATACACACACATACAAACATGTATACAAATATTAAAATTAAGTAATTAATTGCCATCAATTAAAAATCATTGATATACTATTCACACAAGACATGTAGAAATAGAAGGATTATCAAGTGTTTTGAATATTGATTTACAATGTGTAAATGCCAAATTTTGCTTTCCTTATTCATAGGATTCACGTACAAGCCATGGCTGTTTTCAGCATCTATTTAGATATATGTTTGTCTCAGTTGTTGGCGTTGGAATTTTGTCGTTCATGGAGGACTTGGACCTAGTGTGCGTGGTCAGGCTGAACGTGACGGACGATATAGGAAAGTTAGGGTTGTTGGAGCAACTGTACATCTGGGTAAGTGCAACATTTAGTCACTTCTGCACTGGTTATTTTTTTAATGGTGTACAAAATACTTAGATTCGGATTAGATTACCATTAAGAAGTCCTTGTAGCCAATTTCTCCAACATCTATATGTTGACATCCAGTTGAGCCGTGGACTCCTTAGCGTCTCTATTGGTTATTCAATGTCGTAATTGCAAGCTTGGAACTTCTGAGCTAATGTACAGTGCTCTAAATAAAGTCCCTGGTACTTCCTACTGCTTGTTAAAAAAACGGAACGTTTCCTAGAAACCCTGAATTCACGGCAATTTTTTCAGTAAGGTGGATCCCACTGAAGTTGGTGCCTGTAGTGTTCGCATGTGTAACGGTAGAAGCCTTGTACATAAAAATTCCGCATTCACCTCATCTGGTAGATCTAGTGAGGTGGGTTATTGATTGCAATGATGTGCATACAGTATGTGTGCCTTGTGTATGTCAAAGACAGCAGAAAGTTTTTTTTAATCAAGAGCCAGAATTTATATGCACCCAATGTTGGCGATGGTGGATTCAAAGCAACAAATATCGAATCCTGAATCTATGAAAATGTCGAAGGCAATGCGCACTTGGATGACGACATCCCTGCATCGAATCATACCACTTATTTGCTCTTTCTTTTCTTAAGTGCGGAGGTCTAGCTTCTGGTGTATATGTGTCATTATTATATCGTTCTTTTAGTTTATGTTTCGTTTCCTGCTAAGAACTGCATCTTCAGCGGGTGGTTCAGGCTAGAAGCCAGTGTAAACAAATCTAGATAGTTACTTGGAGACCATCCGAAGCTAACCAAATACTTGAAGCAGATGAAGAGAAAGGTGCTGCAACAGAAGCACAAAAGAGAGGATCTTGTTCACGGATAGAGAACTGCATGTGCGCATGACTTCGAGCTGAAGAGGTGTTTAATTCTCTGTGTCAGAGCAAGCTTCGAAAGGCAGTGTATACTTGAAGCAATTGTCTTTTGTTGATCGTTATGGCATTCGAGGACACTTAACATGGATTTTCCACACATGTGCATTACGTTCGTTTTCTGTTCAACATGATGACTTCTCAATGATGTGACGATCGATTGCTTGGTCATGGCAAAGCTGGACAGCACTGTGTAGAGAAATACCAAGGCCCCATTCGTAAGATAAAACATGAGGGAAGCGTGCTAAGGTAGGTCATCGCAGTGAAGACGAGTTTGCGCCGTCTACCAGGCGGACAAGTTTGTCAGTGCAATACCGACCACTCACACTGTGAATGTGAGAAAGCAGATACAGACACTCTTGAAAGAACTTAAGTGTTTAAATCAGGTTTAAATATCTTACGATTTCAAAAGCAAACCTTCGATGAATATTGATGGTGGAATTCTTCCTACGAACATCTTCTGTAATTTTAAGAAAGAAAAGCTCATAGACTGGTTTAGGACAAGCACCAATTATTTGATCCCACAACATTGACTGTTTCTGTACCATTTGCACGCCTTGATTACAAAGTAAGAAAAGTCTTCAGGGCTCAAACTTTAGTTTACATCCTTATAATTACATCTTGTGATAGATTTCCTTGTAAAATGATCTTCGGTGAATATTTGAAAATCAATTCGGATCATTATTTACAGGTATTAAAATCTACAGGTATGGAAATCCAAACAGCGTGACGCTTTAGGTTTGATTATAATAAATTAGATACCGGTGGGCCCCATTCTGTTTTTCCATAATGGAACGATCTGCAAAATGTACACTTCAATTTTTGATCTGGATTCACTTGAGCAGAGCGTATTCATCAAGAAAATAATTCCTTTCAACTACAGCGCAGATCTACCCCATCAGCACAGATCAACTAAGAATTTGATCGGTGTGCTCTTGTGCCAATTGACTATCTTTCCACTCACAATCTTTATTTCTTTATTTCTTTTTTTGTGCTACTTTTGTGTGTCTGTGTGTGTGTTTAACTCACCATTGTCGTATTTATATTTTCTTGCAATCACTCAGATATATGCATTCCCAGTTGTAATTCCTCTAAGATGTGGATCACTAATAAGCCCTTCTAAATCTCTACATAACTGCATCCGATTATTGAAGTGCAGTGATAGTAATAAAACTACTTACCACATGTCCCTGAGTTGTGAGAAAAATCTATACGAAATCCAGAAAAGGACCCAACCAAGTCTGCAAAGCCTTCAACGCATAACAGGAGAATGCACAAACTATAAAATCGTTGAAGCGCCAGCGTTTGTTCGCAAAATTTGGGTTTCGTTAGTTGATCAAAGTGCGTCGCTGTCAATAGCAGCCCTTTCAGACTAGCTGTGGCAGTTCTCACCCACACTTGTCTGCTCCTGCACAGTAACAAACATAAGAAAGGGACCACCCACGGAAATGTCTCCAATGATGTTTGGAAATTCTAGGCTTTCTCCGCTGGCATTAGGGATGCCAAACACACTTAAACTTGCGTCGAAGCAATATCCTCCGGGAAGAGCTTCAGGATCCTGCTTGTTGACCACGAGCTGCGTCCACTGAAGTCAAAGTTCACTGTTGTGAGGCATTACTGTACACATCTAATCGCATGTGTTGACGGGGAGGGGCCAGTCCAACAACAGGACAAGGTAAAATTGGTCCTGATCAAGACAAGTCTGCGCTCCTCAGCAGACGCATCTCTACAGCAGCATGAACAATACCATACGCTTGTGATGCAAGATATACAAAGGAAGTTACATCAACTATCACCCCACCGACATCTCCTGACGTGACCGCAATTTTCAGTCCCTCGCCTCTGCATCCGATTCTGCGAAAATATAATTGGTAGCCTTCCATCAAAAACCTTCCGATCGTTGGGGTCCATGTTATGCCCAAAGTAGGCACCAATGCATCCCCGAAGCAAAGAGAACCCCCCATGATGCAGAGCCATTAGCTAGGCAATGAGCTGTAACGTTCTTCACCATGCTCTTGTTTGCTAGCTGAGAGGGTAGGGAGATATTGGAGCTGCTCAGACCCGCTCCACCACCTGTGCCTGTTGATGTCCCTTCCTAATCATTTCCTTACCAAATGATTGTCTTGGTTCGAGAACGAGTAACGTTGGTGCGTAGAAGGGCGGTGGCATCTTCTACCAAGTTTCCAATCTTAGAGCTCCCATTGGCATGCTCCATCTCTCAAGCGAATTGCCAGACGTTTCCAGAGCAAGAACGTCCAATGGTTTGTTACAGCATGGCTCATCCAAGGCACTGCTAGCAACGCTGACAAACATGATTGCCCCAAAACTTAACAAGAAATTGAATAGGTCTTCAAACTAGGTAAGCAACAAGCAAGGACTGGACGCATACATTTGTTAAGGACGGTCTTTCTCACAGACGAACCTGAGAGCAGAGGCACAGTTGCGAACAACCATCCACATGTCCCACAAAAGCACTAGATGCCTGTACAATGTTGCACGCTTTTGCAAATCTACAGCAATTTGAAGGTACAATACTCAAGGACCAAGAAATTCTCCCGGGAAATCTACATCTGCAATAGCAACATCCTCCGTGAAAAGGATACTTGCAGAATTAAACTCGATCTTCGCACCTGAAATTCGAAATTCAACACAGAGATCTTCTAAGATGTGCACGTCACAAATCAGCGTTAGTGGCAGTTGCATAATAGACACGGAACCCAAGAACCTGATGTACCGTGCCCAAGAGGGCTGAGCTTGAATTTCACTCTCGCTTTCCTGAACAACTTCCCAAAATCTCAAAACCTCAAAGCTCGGAAGCCTTCCAACCCACTGAACAACAAGCTATTGCCAAATCCTTCTAATTCGAGTAACTTCCTCCGTTCTATTTTTACTTCCAGTTGCCTCAGTTGCAGTACCTCCACTGCGGACTTATCTCATACACAATCCTTGACTGATATCTTATTTCCTTTCAGGAATCTTGCTATAAAAAGGAACTACGTCTGTATTTTATTAGCTGGATGGGATCAAAAGGAACTAGCAAAGCAGCCGAGCTTCCCATCAGAGCACAAAACTTGTTGAGTTAAAAAAAAAAAAAAAAAAAAAAAAAAAAAAAGCCCACAAACTTTTTATGTCTTGTTTATTAGAAGAAGATACAAAAGAAAATCGGCAGCCGAGACAATGATCACAAAGCCTTGAATATTCAATTTCCCAAGGCGTCCTTACCACCAGTTTGCCCTGGAGACTGACACAAGAACAGTGCTACGAGAGTAAACGCATGTGCGTAAACTGTAAACAAAAGAGCAGAACTCCAAAAGGTCCAACCGTGCAACGTGGTCTACGACCTTTATGTGCTTCGTTGGGAAAGAAGCTACGTGTTGTGCGAAAACAGAGGGAGGGTGGATGGATGACGTTTTCGGTCTACAAAACTGGGTCCTGACGTGTTCAGAAGCATTTTGTTGCGGCCATCCAAGCTCATCCGGTGAGGATGAAGACCATCCTGGACTCGGCCTCCTCCTCCTTCCTTTCCTCCTTGCCACCTTGCCGCATACTATCTGGAATACGTAGCCAGATTGACGATGATACAAAGCCATCACATCACAATCACAGAAGGCTATGTCACAAGCGCACAAGCCTGGTTGAATTTCGGTGAATTGTGTGCGGTATATGATGGCTTTTGGTATAAGATGGTTGCTTGTATGATTGCGATCCAGAGTGCCACCTTGGGGCAATTCTAGAGCTCCGTTTTGTCGTATTTGAGGAGAACCTTGTCATTCTTGGGGATTTACGGCGAATACCAAGAATCGGTGGAGAATTACTGGCCGAGTAGGGAGGAATTTGGGCTGTCGGAACGTGGATTTGGCAGTTCGTTGTGAGGTTGTGGGCGCTGAGGGATCGCTCCGGGGTGCGTGAGCGCAGAGAGGGTTTGTGGTGGAGGGATTAAGTGCTTTTCGTTGTGGGTTGGTGTTTTAGGTATTGGAGCGGTGAGAGTGGGTGGGGAGAGGGAAGAGAAGTGGGTAGCAGCCATGATTGTTAGCGGGGAGTCGAAGACGGGACAGACACATGGTCGTGTTCGCAACCCACGGCGTCTTGGGGAATCAGACGCACGTTCTCGTGAATCAGTGGTGCAGAGCGCCATGACCAGCAGAGTTAGGGGTATGACGTCCTCGCCTATTATGGTTGACGACGAAGACGATGATGTTGTTGTGTCTTCCCCAAGAGCTTTTGCACAGGTGCGTCATCTATTTCCGTGGGTGTTGAGGTTTTTGTGGCTTTGATCATTTTCATGTTTCGAGGTGATCTACATCCTCATTAAGTTGGAAGTTGTGGATCGATCTGTTGTTGCTTTGTAATTGTCCAATTGAAGTCCCATTTTGGTTGCCTTTTCGCCTCTGTGCTAACTTCGATTGTATATTTCTAGAGGGCAATTTCAGTTTCATCCCCCTCCTCAAGATGAAATTCTTGGTCACCCTTTTACCATAAATCCCTACTCAAGCATGGGTTTTCTGTGATACTGCGGCGGAAGCATTTTCTTCATACATATGTTTCATCACGTCAGGAGACTGTATTGTTTTCTTATATTTATGTGGAATTTTAGGTCATGGGCTTGATTCCAGCCGTTTCCGTTGGATCATGTCATGATAAGTGTGTATTTTGTGCCCTTTGCGCTTTGTTCATGTGATTAGTTTCGAAGAGTTGTCTGGTGCTGCTGTACCCTAATAATAGGAACTGGATTACAAGCATTGTTAAAGCAGTCAACTTCTGTATTGTAATCTATGTGCTTGATTCTTTAATTCTGGGACCTGAGTACCAGGAGGGTCTTATCTCAGCAGACTATCATCAGATGAATGAGTAGCAGTACGTCGAGATAGGTTGGAGTTCAGATATGCTTTAGGCGACGAATGTTATGTGTGTAATTCTTACAACTGGCTCACATGGGGGTTGCACGTTTTTAGGTCGCGGTTGCCTACGGCCAGTTACATGCTAGGTCTTGAGTTTTCGTTGTTCTTCTCGTTTTGATTGCTTTTATTTGGACATTATTTTTTATTCAACTTCACGTTACTTGGGAAGAAGTTTTACGAAGCTGGAAGACAATTACTTGTCCTATGACATGGTGATATTAGCATTGTATTCTCATAAATACGAGACTTTTACTGGATATCAACAATGTGGGTCACCAGACTTGTGTAGTGTAGGCATACACAGCATAATCTGCATTTCTTCACATTGCACTTGTATTGAATAAATGATGAATTTCTCATATCTGCAGGCCAAATTGGTTGCGAGCGTGGAATCTCGCCGCTCTACACGACATCGAGTGGTTGTGGAAGACGATCTCGAATTGCGTCTTGGTCCTGGACCTGCAGGTTAGTGTACACTGTTTTCGTTTGGCGGTTATTTGCTTGCTGGTGCTAAGTCCATGTACCTACACACTGATTGTACCATGTCTGATCTGTCATTTCTGGTTTAATGAATCGGAGTATTTGATTAGTTGAATATATTGTCCAGGAGGATCGCAATATAGTGTTAGGACACAGTCAAGTATCACTCAGCCTCCCCGTGGTCGCCGAGGGCGACCAGCCAGGGCAACAATAGACCTCACGACTCCGTCCAGGCCATCTCCAGCAATCCCGGTGCTTGAGGATTGTGTTCTTCTTAACGACGATTTTCTTAAGGTACGATTGCTTGTTTCTCTTAGTTTAGAGTATTATCATAACTCATTTCTGAATTATTTTCTCGCAAAATCTACTCTGCGAATCTTCTTGTGATCGATCGTCTTGTCACCTCTTGATCAAGTTTGATGTGTTACATCTGGAATAGAAATGCCATGTTTCTGTTTGGTGACCCTGGCATTTGGATTTGATTATAGGATGCTTTTTCCATGTAATACTTGGCATGCTGCTGTAACTAGTTGTTCACACTGCTCATCTTCCATAGGTCAGATATTTTGATCTGACACTGATTTTTTTATTTTGCAGAGTAGAAAACGGAAAAGTTCTTCAATTGAACAATCATTAATGCATGAACTTGCTCTAAGCACGCCAGCCAACGAGCCAGAAGAGGGGTGTAAACTCAAGTGTGCTATTTGCATGGATACGATGAAAGAAGAGACCTCCACTATCTGTGGCCATATCTTTTGCCAAGCTTGTATTCAAGGGGCGATCAGTGTTCAGAAGAGATGCCCTACTTGTCGAAGGAAGCTGACTATGAAGAACGTACATCGGATATATCTTTAGATTTCACGCTGAATGGGTACGTTTTACACATCACCAGAACTCAGCATCACTACTACAACTAAGCGTTGTACAGGTTTAAGACGGATGTTTCTCAGGTGAACATTAGGCATACCATGAGCGATTTTCCCAGAATTGAGCAGATTCAATTCATTAGATGCAAGTCCAAATATTTTGGGTCTTATTAGAGCTGTTGAAAGTATGTAGAAAGACTCATGCCGCGACGATTACTTTTGCTTGTGTCTAATCTTTCTCGCTTTGCTCGCATTGGGAACATCAAGAGTGGAATCACTCATTGTACATTTGACATCCGCTTTGCGTTCAAAGTTCATGTTTCCCTGATCTAATTGAATCATTTATGAGTCTTTCTATTCCTATTTTCTTTGTGAGGAAAGTCACTCTTGTGGACATTCTCCCAGAACAACATACTCTTGGTACTTTGAGGCAGTCTAGATTCTGTTTTTCAAAACTGGCTGCTAATCGGCGATACTGTTTTGATAAATTCATGAAAAGAGCAACTTTAGGTGACACTAAAATTTTGCATCAACTGATGTAGACTGTTTCTACTATTAATATTCCTGCAACTATCTTTCTCGAATTCAGGCCTGTCATTGCGGTCAGAGAATAATTATCCTCAGGGAAGTAGCGAATCGCAAGTTCATGGAATGTTGGATATACTATATCTATGGAGTTCACTTCGGCTTTCTGTCTTGCAAAGTAGGCTAGTAAGCCATACTTTGGAACTACAACGTTACCTGATTGTAAAGCAGTGTGGAAAAAGCCCTCTTCCAATTATTATTGAAGCAACGGCAACATTGACTAGTCATCAGTGTGGTAATATCTGAAAATATAAAAGATCCAGCTTCTTTTCAGTATCCACCTTTTCCAAGAATTCAACCATTTAACCGACTCTATCTCTTCATAAATGTTGGTGGAGGAGGGAGGAGAAACGCTTGAGGGAATACAAGAACAAAAGAAAAAAGTATTCAAAGAACAGAAGAATGTTCTGTATTGCAAGTTTCTTTTAGGCAATCCACTTCTTGGAATCTTTTTTTGTCCAACTTGAAGTAATCGCGTCAAGTCTTCAAATGTATATACGTATACATATACACATATACACACTCAGAAACTGACGTTTAGCTGAACAGGCAAGTCTTTAAAAACACTTGCTAAAAATTGCACGTGAGAGAAACTCTGTGACGTTAATAATAGCTCTTAGCACTTGACAGAGACAGAGCACCAATGGGCGTCTCCGAAATAATTGAGAAATTAGCGTCATTTCAGTTGGGTAAAAACAACTGAGGAATCTATTCTATCGTATCACTTCCTCAATCGTCACTCTGAAGGTAAACTCAAAAAGTAATGATGCCCAGTTATATACTCGACTAGTGAATAGTTGTAAAATGAAAAGACCACGAGTTTTAAGTCTATTGCTACGTAACTAAAATACCCCACTTTGAATTGAACTCAGAAACAGCCCATAGCAGAGTAAAAGTAAACATCCTTCCTGTCCGCTTATAGACGTCCTTCTGAACAAAGTGCCAAAATGTCCTCAAGCCGACCTCAAAGACGATTGACGTAGATTGGTATTTGACTGGAAAATATTTGAAACATTTCCGCAGTCAACAACTGATTTTCTTCCGTGAAATCGTAGACACTTTCATAAAATCGGAGTGGTACTTACGTAAACAAGTGGAGGTGAAAAGAGAATGCTTTCGAAGACTTAGTAACCTGAGATTAAGTTTGCCTGCAGAATTTTGATAAGGAATAAGCTGGTTCTCTGGATCATTTGTGTGGAAATTTGAAATACTGCCAGGTTGCATTCGGCATAATATTCCTGCAAATTTAAACGTAATTTCTTTTCAGAATCATCCTCAACTTACTTCAATGCTGTAAAGAGCATCTTCGTTTGTAGAATGGGTGGAGCCTTGCAAACATACACAATCTCATATCAGTGATATGGCGCTTGGCAATATGAACAATCATTCATCATTGTTCAAATTAAAACAAATAGACCAACCATTTGAGAAGAGCTGCATCGAAGCCGCACTACACTACTTCCCCAGGAGAACCGAGCCTAACTCGTCGGTAGCAAGTTAAAGTGCAGGAGGAGGCATGTCAATGCTGTTCATGTGTGAAGTACCAAGTGATTTACACCAGATGACTGAAACAGACACAATGGTCACGAAGGTTGGAATGCCCTTTCTCAGAATTATCGTTCGCCAAGCAGTACAAATCAAACAGATCGTGATAAGATATTTAGCATATCACCAGAAGCTAGTTGATACTACAAACTCGGATTAATTTGATATGGTTTTCTAAGGATTCACAAGGTTAAACTCTAATTTAGTAACCCGATTGGCTTCTGAGCTATTCCTTTTTCCATCGTTACCTGCGCGTTGTGCGCATCGAGCTACTTTGCCGACAACTCCAGTCATGTGGTCGTCGAATCAGTGCAAGCACTCTCAAGGGAGAGAATTTTGGCTTGTTCACCTTCAGAAGTTGGTTTTCTTCTTGTAATGCTCTCATGGCAGTTTTTTTGAAGAGAAGCAACACAGCGATTTCCATTAGCAACCTAAGAGATGGCATCTCCAGAGCGGGCCTCCCAGCAATGACCAGCGCTTTCTCTAAATGTGCACTGAAACATAACCTTCACCAATTGCAGCAGCTCGAAGGCTCAACTGAGTTTCGTTCTCGACATCAGACGCCTCAAAACGTAGCAAGTCGACAAGAACCTCTCCACAAGTTGATGCAAGCCGCAACTCTACATCATCTCAAGCCTCTATCAATATCGCTTGGACGATATCATCAGCAGTGTGGTCGGATCCGATGACTCTGAAGACTCGTGCTTCGCAACTGCGAAGTTGGCCACCAGCGGGTCCGCAGTCAGTGAGACTTGACCATGTGGAGGGACTTCTTTGCAACTTGCATACCTTCCCGCGCACATTCAATGCGTACTAACTGAGTAAATGGGATTTTTGAAGATCTCTGATCATGCCGGTGTCTGCCGCTGTTTTAGCATAGTTTGATGCAGCGCCGGAAATTGGAGGAAAGTATTGAATCGTGCACATTCGCAAGGTCGTCAATGCATCTAGGAACTGCAGTGCGCTCCTATTCCGTTCGATCTAGTCGACACAGAAAGAAATAGCTCAAAATCAACGAAGGAAATGCGAAAGTGGGTAGCTAAGTTCGGCGGAAGGATAAAGTGCGGTCACAAAGGTAATCTGTAGAGAAGGCGCCGCGTTTCTTCTCGGTAGGAGAGAAGCAGCCGCACTACCACCGGCGGATGAGCGATATCAGGGGTACAATACCTGATAAATAGAGGCTAATAAAAGAGGCCAGACAATGAATGGAACAATCACGAGTACGAAAACATCAGTTGAATTGGGCATGATGAGGACTCGGAGGGCCAGTTCCAGGAGAATAGGGTCCGGATTGCTTCACACAGCAATGGAACGCCACACAAATCTGGGTGTGCTCTATCATCACTCTTCGATGGAGATGACGTGGGGCGACTCTTTAATCCAGGTCCACCGGGAAGCAGGCGGCGGAGCGGGCGGAGAGGATGGCTGGCTGCTCTCCGAATAGACCTGAGCTTCTTGTAGCTGTTTGCGCAGCCACTACTCCCATGGCCCTTTCTGGCATATCTTCGTAGCTTGATTGGCGTCGGATGATTAGAATGTCGGCGCAGAGAGAGAGAGAGAGAGAGAGAGAGAGAGAGAGAATTCCTCCTTTTCCTGTTCTAGTCCATCCGGAGTTGAGCTTGAGTAGTCGATTTGATATTTTGGCAGGTTGGGGACGTGGGTTCAGTGTAAGCTTGACTGTTTTTTTTTATTTGTCATTTTTGTAGTTGTTTCTCCCCTCTCAAGTTGTACTTAGATATGGTCGAGAGTAATTGCAAGGCACGGCGTTGTGTACTCTTTCCATGTACGATCGGGACATCATTGATGTAGGGGCTGCCAGCTTTTTAAGTGGAAATTTCAGCTTCTGCCAGGAATGGATGATTGAATGTGATCGCAGGTTTGCTTCTGTTGTTTTTTTGCGAAACAGGTGATGATTTTTGTCGTACCAAGGCTTGGTTGACGATCGAGTTGGAGTGCCGCATGGGTGCTGATATGTTTGCCTTACTCTCTTTCCGTCGTGGGGTGTGACAACCAGCCGCCTAAAGAGTAGATATTGCCTACTGCGCCGCCTGCCCTGCGGGACTCTGCGTTTGAAGGCTACTTACCTTCACTGCCCGTGATGAGTAGGTAATGATGATGTAATATCAGCTGAGCTGCTGAAATGTTGGAAAAGCTTGAAAACTGTTGAGGCATCGAAAAACCGCGTGTAGATTAGTGGCCTTTTTGCATACTGCTGTGAGTTTTGGATGTTTAGGCTGCCGCGGTAGGGTGATGACTTCTTTAGTAAATTGTTATGGACTGGAGTGCTTCATTTGGTTGTAAGGTTGTCGATGAGCAGAATTGGCGTCAGAGTCTTTGTCTGACAAGCGAAGACGAATACTTCATTTTGTGGATTGCAGCGTCAATTGGAGAGCATTAAAGCGTATTAGAATTTTTCTACTCCGACTGCTATGGTTGGACCAATCAATTTGTAGTTCTTGTGCAGCTTTGAATAGAGCAAGGACGCTTTGGGAATTTGCCATGGTGGTAGTGCTTCGATCTAACTGGTGCCTGGAATGGAAGCCTTTGACGGAGAGCTCAACATACACATCAATGATATGAAGGGCTGAAGTTGAATCTCAAGCGCGTAGGTCCGAGAAGACACAAGTGACGCTTCTCATTTTCTCACTTCGTCGATGCCAATATGGGTCTCGAAGCGGAGAGGATAGTGACATATGGGCAGTCTCAGAGGAAGAAACAGCTGATGGCCGCCGCTTTGGCCAACTCAACTTTATCTACCAATTGCGATCCTCCAGGAAATGCCCAATCCGGTCACTGGAGTTTTAAATCCACGGCTCTGGCTATCTTCCTTCTGTCTACATGTTTTTTCCAGATCAACAAAGCTTCCAACCGGGACACCGTTAATGTCAACGACACATCTGCGATGCTAATTCAATTGGCGACGCAAATTGCCGCGACCACCACCCTACCCTGCTCAGGTCACGGCTACCTGGAATTCGGTGGGACGAAGCAATGCGTCGGCACTTGTAAGTGCTACGAGTGTTTTGGAGGTGTGGACTGTTCCCAAGTGATACACTCTTGCGTCATTGACCTGGACCAGTAAGTCAACATTACCAGACCAACCAGCCCTCCACTCATCTGTTCGCGTTCTTCAAGCATGGCTTTTGCTGTACTAAGCACTGGATCTCGAACACTTTACTTCTGTGCAGCGGGGACCCGACCATGTTTGAGGAGTTCTGGTTCCGACATGAAGTTAGCAGCATCACTGTCATTCTTGGTTATCAGCGAATGAGTTACTTCGCACAAAGCAAGCACGTGTGGTTCATGGAGAACGAGCTGGAGCTTCAGATCAGGGCGTTGCATGAGGTGGTGGGAAACGCGGTCACCGAGGGTCGTCACATTGTGGTTGGTACAGGCTCCACCCAGCTCTTCCAAGCTACCCTTTACGCTCTCACATCTCCAGACCAACCCAAGCCAACGAATATTGTCTCTGCCGCTCCGTTCTACTCCGTATGTACCCGACCCAACTCTCCCGTTGAATGTGTTTTTGGCTTCCTTGAGAATCCATCTTAATTCAACTGGATGCGAGGGTGACAAATGGTGATCGGCAGTCTTACCCTGCAGTGACCGACTACTTGCGTTCGGCGTTGTTCAAGTGGGTCGGTGACGCTGCGAAGTTCAGCCTTGGTGTTGAACGGGAGGAGCCATACATAGAGATGGTCTGCTCTCCAAACAATCCAGACGGAAGGATTCAGCACGCCATTGTGAATGGGACGGGGCATGTTGTGCACGATCTGGCTTACTACTGGCCGCATTACACGCCCATCACAGAGGCAGCCGACCATGATATCATGCTTTTTACACTCTCGAAGAGCACCGGGCATGCAGGAACACGCATTGGGTAAGGGTCGCCTCCTCCGTCTTATCGGTGCTGCCCGGGATCTTGTGATTTCTCTAGCAGGAGATCTAAATATTGCCCACCAAAACCTTAGTAGCCTTAGTTGTGGATACCGGTGTGCAGGTGGGCTATCCTGAAAGACGAGAAAGTGGCGAAGAAGATGATGAAGTTCGTAGAACTTAACACGATCGGCGTTTCACATGATTCTCAAGTGCGAGCAACGCAGATTGTGAAGAGTGTAGTCCAGGGATATGCATACTCATCTGCGAGTAACCTTGGAATCGAGACACAAACGTTAAGTTCACGGAGTCTCTCAGAACACGTAGACAACAACAAACTGTTCCATTTTGGTGCTTCTGTTATGCATTACCGTTGGAGACGTCTACGGGACTCTCTAAGTGGTTCTTCCGAGTTCTCAATCCCGGAATTTCAACCCTCGTACTGCAACTTCTTCCAGAAACAAGTTAATCACGCTCCTGGTATGCACTCTCACCTCTTGGTCACTTCATCAATGGATTACTTGCACAAAAATGCGCCTTCAGGTGGTTTAATCCTGGTTGGTTGGAATGTGCACAGCATTTGCGTGGCTGAGATGCAGAAAAGTGGTAGACTGTGAAGCTTTTCTGAAAGAGAACCGGATCATTTCCCGTAGTGGTCGGCACTTCGGTGTTGGCACAGAGTACGTGCGCTTAAGCATGCTTGAGCGGAATCAAAAGTTTGAAATGCTACTGAGTCGGCTGGCAAGGATTGACTCCTCCAGAACACCTGATTAAGCAGCAAGTACCAGTATTCTCCCAAGCATTCAATTTTGCTCTTGTGCTCTGCCTGAGGGCCCTCGCGTAGTTCTTCATGCCTCAAGTCCTCCTGAGCTCCATCTACCGATTGAGAATGTTTTCTGTTGCTCCGTAAAGACAGAGTGCCCTTGTAAAAGTTCCAAGACGATTTGCAAGTGTTTTGATACGGAGAGCATTGAAGATTCTTGAAGTTGTTTTCTTTTTCGACGCGGAGGAGGCGTGGGAGTTATGACCTTTTGTGCTTGAGTGGTAGTCACAAGCCTTTTTTATTTTGAGTAATTGCTCCCGAAATGGAGATTTCCAGTGTTTTTTGAGCTTGGCAGCAGAGGTAGAATACAACTTCTAGATTTAACCAAGCAAGCAAACGCCAAAAATTAATCTAATGTTTATTCTTTAGCTCCGCTCTTCATGACATCTCTGAGATTTATCGAAACTTTGCTTCATTCCTGGGTTCTCGTCATTATGCATTTTAAGTCGAGCCTCATCTCACAACCAAAACTTGCGAAGTAGGGGATATTTACACATAGTCGATCTACGAAACGCACGTTGAAGAGATCACACCACCCAACAGTTACGTCACCCTTCTGTTACACTTTCCATGCTCCTAACTCTCACGACGCCGCAAAATGACAACGGAAAACGCCGGAGAGCAAATCCCCATTCCACGTTCCAACAGTGCGACAAGTCTCGGAACGGTCACAGCATGGTAAAGAGAAGCCCCACTGAGAAATCACCCTCTGAACCACCCCAACTGGCGCAATCATCAGCCACGATGTGACTCCAGTGCTTCAACGCCGTGTTCAGTGGCCCCCCCTGCAGATGCTCCCAGTACTACTACTGCTACTCCTCACACGTCAAGCTCCTGGTACACTACCCACATATGATACACAGACACATATTGATAACCACTATGATCACCGTCCTGGCACCCCACCTACGCCTTCGTGGTAGCAAGACCTACTCCCCAACTACACACACGCACACTCGTCCTCACTCCGTAACGAAACCCGTCACCGAGTGAGTCTAAGCTCGCAATCACTAGAGCTGTGAGTGAAGAAGCAGGAGCTAGTGACTAGGAGATGGATCTGAGCGGCACCTGAGACTAGAAATAGGGTGCAAGGATTTTGTAGTGTTGAGGTCAGTGGTAGTGAGATCATTGATCGGGCTCTCCTGCTGCTGCTGTCTGATGGGCACCTTGGATTGTGGCCATCTCAGGCACGCTCATGACGCTGCGCAAGTGGTCAGGCCCTGGAAAATCATTGCCGCTTGCATCTCAGTACCCTTTGCTATGATAAACTCTATCATGAGGATGAATGAATGTACACTCTCTCTGTGTCTCTCTGGTCCACTTGTACACCCCTCCTTCCACGCCTGCCAAATCAGCCCTAAAATGATTGCATTCACCTTCTTCTTCCTTCTTCGTCTTCTTTCTCCGATTGATGTGGTTGAATTGAACAAGTGGGTTTTTTTCACAGTGTTGTGGTTTCAGTTGAAGGGTGGTGGTGAGTACGTTTGTGTGTGTTTTTTGTGCGATGAAAAGGAATGTGATAGCAGTGGTGGTGGTGGTGAGTATGTTTGTGTGTGTTTTTTGTGTGATGAAAAGGAATGTGGTGGCATGGTGGTGGTGGTGTTATTGGTACCGGTGGTGGGGATTTGGATATTTTGTTTGATGATGATGATGTTGAATGTAAAATGTATCTGATGTTGTTGAAAGTGCATTTATTGTGGTTTGTTGCAGTTTGTACTTTTATCCTTTCTTGTTTGCAAATGTATTGTAAAAAAATGGAAAATCGTGTTTGAATATTCATATACTTCACAAGTACTAGACATGCTAGTTTAATGTATCTTTTGTATGGAATGTAATTTATTTAGTAAATTTTGGGACGAAGTGTATGTTGAAAGAGTGAATTCGTGGATTAAATTTATCGTGTAAATATTTGCATACAAAATTACATGTAGAGAGAAAGAGAGATCTCATGTAAATGTTAGGATTAAAATATGTATGTTTTAAGTTTGTACGGAGTCTAAAATAAAGTAAAAGCATGAAGCACTATCATTTGCTTTGTGCCACATAATTTGGTTTTCGATTTAATTTAGATTAGATTTTGTGGTTCAAATTTTCAGATTAGATTTTTGAAATCACAATTTTGTTCGTAAAGTTTTGAAAAAAGTTATAGCAAAAAAAGATATCATTTGTTTGTTGATTATATAGTTGTTGTAGATTGTAACATAATACACAAATTCAAATAAATATTTTAATACAAGATTGGAATATATTCAAATCCTTTTTATACAATTTGAATATACTTATGTCTCTATGCCACGCTTATCTTATATTGAACAAATATTTATCATTTATTTTATTATAATTTAACACATTAAGTATTTCATAACATAGAATATCAAAGTTGATGCCTTCATACATCACAGTACAAAAAAATCAAAAAATAGATTTTCCAGTAAAAAAAACATGGTCACCCATTCATTTATGTTCACATGTACTTAAAGTGAACCTGAACAACGACATATGTTTCCCATAGGCAATAAACATGATTCTACGTTTCATGCTAACACAAATTAAATCTTTCAAAATAGGCAAATGTGTCATCGATTTATACTACTGCACACAATTTACTGCAACGGTTTTTTTCCAGACGGCAATCGACTCTCCATGAAGACCCGTCCCTGAACCGAATTATGGTGATCAGAAAGCTTCACATCCACCCGAGGCAGTGCGGTCAGCGAGGTTGACAAGCAATCAGTGGATTCCGTTACTGCTTCAGCGATCAGTGGAAACCGATCGATTGTGTACCACTGGTCTCGAAATCATATTAAACAACCTAGAAACACTACCCACTCTTCTTTCAGCATCAAAGTCTTTAGGATAATCACACTAGTACTGTAATGAAGGTCCATCACGACACAGGTCACAATCCCGTAGACTTATGCGAGAGAATCATGCAGACACTTCATCCTTTGCTCAGCATCATGGCAGTGTCAACTTGTTGTCGAATTCTTCGCTGTGTGTGTGGGTGTATGTTGTATAAACTCCAGACTGTGCGAGTAAATGTTCGACTGACTGCAGCGTTTCTCATTCAGTTGTTTTCTAGGGACGTGCTTTCTTTGGCAGAAGCTTTGCGGATCGAAGGCTGAGTCTTTGGACTGCATCACATTAAACTCGGCTTCTCATTTCAACAGTATGATTCTCGTTCACCTGAGCTCTAACACGGATAGTCTTTGGCTCAAAGTAGAGGTAGTCATTTTGTGCTGTTCCATTGCATTGGCGGAGGAGAAAGAGGATCGAGAAAGCTGTTCTCGCGGGATCAGTAAGCGACATGTATCAGCAACTTATCCCCATATATAACTTGCATATATCAGTAACTTCTACATGTACAATGTGTGTCGATAATCCACATATATCGATAACTTTTATATGTGTGCGTGTATGTATGTGTATGAATGAAAAGCTTGTATTAGTAATCGACATGTGGGTGGGTGAGGAAAGCTGGAGAACAAACCTGGTGTGATGAAGCTGTTTCAATTAAAGAAAGAGAGCATTTATTTAATGCCTGTAATGAATAGCGTTGGACTCAAGGTAGGCCCCATTCCAGTTGCACTCGGCGATGTATTCCTTGTTGTTCATTATGGAGCATTGCAAGGAATAAATGAATCAGACTTGTTTCATCTCTATTCACACCCAGTCTTTCTTGGTCACTCCCTCTCAATATAAAAATTCATCCCAGTTTTCACTGTGGTGTTGGTGTTTTTGGCCATAATTTTGACCACTTCATTAAGCATAAGCAAGCTTAATTTCAATATATATATATATATATATATATTCATATACACACACTTTAATGATTATTAATGGATTTTTTTGCTCATAAGATTTATTTTATATTTATAAGTAATAATATATATATATATATATATATATATATAATGGTTTCTATATGTAATTGTTAATTTATATATTAATATTTCATAATTTAATAATTCCTATATTAAGCATGCAAACTAAATTGGGCCAAAAAGTATGTACTTAAGCTTTGTGCATACTTAGGATGAATTTGATTCTAGAACATCCTAGAGACCATCTTAAAGTGTGAATAAATTTGGGAAAAGCATTTGTGATTTGTAATTTTTGCTTGACTATTTTTGTATTCTTAAGTCTCTTAATGTCAACTATTCTAAAGAGAATCCACAAAATAGAGATGATCATTGCCTTATAGAATCTAAAGTATCTTCATATGTAATTGCTTGCAAGATTAAATAGAATAATTGAAAAGACTATTTGTGATACTTAGAAGAAAGAAGATGAGATAAAACTATGTATTTTGTCTAATTCTTACCAAACTTAGGATATAATACAAAGAATTTTTAAGCTCAAATATAAAAGTCTTAAAGAATAACTTTGTTATTAAATTAAAGCAATTCAACAATCAAAAAAATAGTTTCCAATCTTTTTTTATTTTTTTCAATTCATTGATTGGGGCTACTAAAATAAAATTGTACAATTTTACAAGAGTTTAGAGATAGTTTACAAGATTTAAGAATCAAAGAGGTCTTGATTCAATGCTTCTTTATAGTATAGGTACTTAAGTTGATAAAGATAGTTCATATTTATCGGATGCTTTGGACAATCTATATAATATTATTAGATAATGCAAACCAAAGATTTTTTATATTATGGATAAGTTTTGATAGAATTTTAGACTTATTTATAAGTATCATACTCTACTTTTTACATAAGATAAATTAACAACTTGTAGTAAAACAAAATTTGAATAAAAAGTTACTTTGATTGTTTGCTCTTTTGTAAGGTGCCATGCATAATTATTGGAAAGGCAACATATATTGTAAGATGTTATTGGCTAATTTCTTATTAAAAAAGAAAAAAGAAAAAATAAATAGATAAAAACTTAGGATGGATAGATCTATATTTTATTCATAATTTGAAATTTTCTTTGCACTTGAATTTATAAAAAAGATCTGCAAAAAAGTCATCTTATATTTGGATAATGCTATTGGATACAATATGGCATTTAAGAAATATGAAATCACAGTGGTTTTTTCTTTTTCTTTTTCTTTTTTTTTCTTTTTCTTATCTCCAAATGTGACATTGTAGAAGCATCCAATAGATATTACAACCATTACAATGCTAAAAAAAATGCTACAAGTATAATTTATAAATAAACAAATAAATAAATAAAAATGGACTTTTATGACCTACATGAAAAAATCCAATGAATACTCAAATTTCTAACATAAAAAATGAGATAGGGTAGTGCTAGCATTGTACAAAGACAACTTGTTAATGTGTTAGGTGTTGCAAAATATTTTATAAGAGCCTAGAATAAAACCTTACTAGAATTTATTATAAATTATTTCAAAAAAACAAATATTTTCAAA